TATGTGTGTGTGTATGTGTGTGTGTGTGTGTGTGTGTATATTAGTGGTAGGTCATTATGAACGTTAACGTGCTGCGGTAACAAGAGTTTCTTTTCGCGCAATAAAAAATATCACCAATAATCTATTAAGTTGGGTTGGGAGCTGGGTCTATTCTACGCAAGCTATGATGACTTTCATCTTGGTATTTTATCCCACACTGGATGCGCCGCTCAGCGCCGTGACATGGCACGCACATGACAGTTGGAAGTATCGCACACCAGACGCACAAATTCGCATGATATTTAAAATGAAACTATTCAGATATGGTGCTCTGGTGCGGCAGAAATATATACAGTGTCCTGAGTCGTGGCTGGGCACCGCGGACAGCAGCCGACTTGTGGCACCAGTGTGTGTACCCTAATGTCCTAATTCCATTTCTGTTTAGTTCAGTTAGGACGTTAGTCAGATTAAGGTGATCAAAAATGGCTGTTTGTTGCTTATGTAGGCCTACAGTTCAACATTCATGTTTAACTGAATAAACAGTAAACAAAAGTGCATCTTATTGAACATTATTTATTTTCATTACCAATTATCTTAGTAGAATGCATTTTGGAAACAGGAGATGAGCCCCTGGTCTGATGCGCCACCTGGCTTGAGAAACCCATTCTCAAAGACTTGTTATTTGGGTAGCCTACGTATTCTGAATGCAATAAATGCAATTCAGAATTCAAACCAAATCAAATAAAATCAGGACTTTATTTGTAACAAACACTTTCGTATAGTGAAATTGAACCCCCCCCCTCTCTTTTTAGATCTTTCAACATTTTCTTCCATCTCTTTCTCTCTTCTTCTCGTCTCTCTTCATCTTCTCGTTTTCTTCTCTCCCACTCCTTTTTTCTCTTTCTCTCCAGCTCCTCATAATGTCTCTTTGTCTCTTGTCCTCATATTCTCTCTCTTTTTCTTTCTTTTCTCTTCTCTGTTTCTGTTTCTTTCTCCTTCAAATCTCTTTCTCATTTTCTCCAGTTCTTCTTGTTTTTCTCTCAGTTGTTCCTCGTGTTTCTCTTTTCTTTTTCTTTCTTCTTCCTCTCGTTCTCTCAACCTTCGTCTTTTCTCATCCTCCCATTCTCTCTGCTGTCGTTTAATTTCATCTTGAATCTCTTTTCTGTCATTTTCAGCTTCTTTTATTCTTTTTTCCCATCTCTGTCTTTCCTCCTCTTCTTCTTCATTTCTTCTTTTCTTCTCCAAATCCCTCTTTTTTGTTTCCTCCTCTTGTCTCATCTTTAATTCGTCTATAATACGCTCTTGTTCATTTCTCATCTTGTCTTGGTCTTGTCTGTATTTCTCTTCTCTCTTTCTGTCTTCTTCTCTTTCTTTCTGCTGTTGTTCATACTGTGATCTCTGATTGTCAATCTCTCTCATCATTTCTTCTATTCTCTGATCATATTCAGCTCTTTGCTGTTTTTCCTCTTCTAATCGTTTCTGGTTTTCAATCTCTCGTTTCTTTTGATCTGTTTTCTCCTTCTCTTCAAACTCTTTTTTGAGTTTTTCCTCTTTTTCTTTCAGTTGATTCTCCATTTTATTTCTCTCCTCTTCTGCTCTTTGTTTTTCTTCCTCGAGTTTCTTCATCATGTCCTTCATCTCCATCTCATATTTGTCTTGTAACTCTTCTTTCTGTTTCTGAATCTCTTTTTCTCTCTCTTTCTGTATTTCCTCCATCTTCTTCTTAATAGACATCTCTGCCTCCTCAAACATGCTGTTAGTGAAGTATCCTCCCTGATTATTACTCTTCACCTCTTCTATCATCTTTAACAGCTTCATCACTTGAGTTTTGTCTTGTTTTTCTCTGTTATTGAAAGCCAGGAATCTGTTTCCACAATCGCTAATCAGTTTCTTCAGTTCTGCATTGCGTCCTTTTTTCACGTAATCCTCTATAGGCTGACCTTTAAGATCGTCTCCTCTGGTGAACAGAACGATGCTGAACTGAGCAGCTTCTGGACCAAAGATCTTCTTGATCAGATCAATAGTGTCTGTCTCCTCTTTGGTGAATCTTCCCAAACTCAACACAATGATAAACACATGAGGTCCAGGAGCTGACAATGAAACACACCTTACTATTTCTTCCACCACTTGATCATTTGTCAGTGTTGTGTCGAAGAGTCCTGGAGTATCAACAACAGCTACTGATCGACCATCAACTTCTCCAACTCCTTTCTCACAGACAGTCGTCACTGAATCCATGCTTACTTGACTCAGAAACTCTTCTCTTCCCAGAATAGTGTTTCCTGTTGCGCTCTTTCCATTTCCTGTCCTTCCAATCAGCACAATCCTGAGACACTGCAGATCTTCTGTACAATCACCTAAAAATCACACATCCATTATTATCATAAAGATCTATTTCTGCTATTTCCCACTTCATATCTTTAAAAAAGAAATAAAATACCTTCAATAAACGATATTACTGAACTCATTGGCATGGTTACATTATTTTGAATGCCCATAAAACATCATAACCATTTATTTAAAATGCAAACCAATGACTGTAATATGGGTTGGGCGCTTGATCTTGACTTTTTCTTAGTCTGTTTCAAGCTGAAATTCCTAGGCATTTTTTTCTATACAAATTTTTGTTGTTGGGCTTTTTAATTTGTTAAGAAACTAGCTAAATAAACTAAACTAGCCATTTATATGAGCAGGAAAATAAGCTTAAAAGAGTGGTGGTTATGATTTTACATTTGGTGAAATCGGGTGTTGATTGAAATGGGGAATTGTTTTACTAAGATTTAGTTTTTACATATTGAATTTAGAAATGAATTTTCTGTAATTCTTATGATTTCGCAGACATGCAAAGCATAAATAAAGCAGCGTCCAGTACCAGTGTCACAGTAATTGTCCTCACCACAGGGGGATTCATTCCTGCAAACATGTCTGTTAATCTGATAATACACTTTGTCTTCAACTATTTGAGAAATATAGTGAGATTACAGCTGGCCTCTTTGTGTTCCTTCTTGACTTGATTTCAGATTTGTTCTCACGCTCTGATTCATTGCTGAATAATCAATCTGAACACACTCTTCTCTTTTGTCTATTCATAAATTACCATTGATGCACAGGGGTTAGCTAAAATAGAGTTGGTTTGTTAAGCAGATTTAATTTTCAATCTGCTTTAGTTACAGACTGTGATGCTACTCAAGTCTTAAAATTAAACATGTTTAAAAATTTCAAATGAACGAAGTATTATGCAATTGATTGAACAGTCAAGGGAGTCGCGTACCGGATGTGCTGCACATATGACAGTTAATGTGTGTGTGTGCATGCACGTGTCACAGGTATTGGTGATTTTGCTGTGGAGGCCTTGTGGGTCCTTTATTTCTTGCTGTCATGACTCCTGCACCCTAGATTCAGTTTTTTTGAGGTTTATTCATAAACTAATTTCGAGAGGATCACGTGCTTATGATTTACTTTGCTAATCACTATCTTCCAATCATATGCACCCTAAGCTACTATAAATAACCACAGTTTCCAGCTCATTTTATCTTCGTTTGGAAGACCGCTCAACCTCCAATTGCGCTTCAAAGGACAAATTCTAACCGTTCATCAGTGAACATCAACTTACACCTGCATATTCATCAACAAATCCATCATCATCATTATTATCATTATCATCATCATCTGCTGCCGCAACTGCTGCTCTTTACAATCAACTACAACGACCCACATCTTCAAAAAATTAAGTCACCATGAACAACTAAAACAATAACGAACAAGCCAACAACCAGCCGGATGTTTTCGACTCTCCCCGCTTCGCCAGGCTCCCAACCCGAGCCCTAGGCCGCCATAAGAGGCCGACGCATGACTCGCTCCACCGCTACCAGACTCCACCATAACTTATCACCAGCTCAATCCACTTCAAGACAACAAAATTCCTCACCTACCTCTTCGTACATCTCTGCCACCTCCTCCGCCCTTTCTCCAAGAAGAATCACCATCACAGCAATCAGGAACAAGCTTGCCGTCCTCGGAATCCAGGCACCCAGAAACCTCAAAAAAACGGAACTCCTCAAACTCTATAAAAATGCGACATCGGACTCCCTTCCTTCTGCAAGCCCTCCTGCAAGACCAGTTGCTCAGGAAAACACTACACGTTTCACTACATATCCGCAAACCTCTCGATCACAACCAGGAAAGAAGAAATCAAAACAAAAACACACAGCCAGCCACGCCCACACAAGACCGCAACACCAGGGAACCCAGCCTTCGCCGATGACGTCACTCACTCTCCCTCAACAGGACTCCATGCAAGACAACTCAGCCTCTCTCCCTCTCCCTCAAACCTTCTATACACCCTTTTCTTGCCCTCCGCCCCCTCCAGCTCTCTTATTAGCCCTCATCCCATCTACCTCCAATGCTCATTTTAAACCTGTCATTTCTGCTCCTCCTGCCCCCCCAAATCAGTCTTCATCTTTTCCTTCCCACCCCTTTGCCTCTGCCCCCCCAACCCGCCTTTTTCACCTCGAAATTCCACCAGCTAATATTCCTCCTTTTTTTCTTCACTTCCCACTGCTCACACTAGCTCTGACCCCGCCTACCCTTTTTTCCTTTCCTACACCAGTTTCCTCTGCACGCCCCAATTCAACTTGTCATCTGCCATGCCCCTCCCTCCGCCGAACAATGCTCTAGCCATGGAACCTCCACCTATCTCCAACTCCGCTTGCAACCTAATCCTCTCAGGTGCTGATATTGACCTTATTTCACTCCTTTCACCCATAGCACATCCCGTGGCAGAACGCCGGGTTGATTGTTCCGAATTTTCAGTTTCCCTCAAATCTTCAGCCAATAATCAGTCCCGCATTCTAACATTAGCCGAATTTTCCATAGCCTTTGCAAGATTTACTGACATAATTTGTTCAGTATTTCTTACACTTCCACACTTACCATAAGTTATTTTCTGCCAAATGTGCCTTACGTGTTACCCAGTGGAATCAGTGTCCCTATTGGGGGGCTTTGTACACCGAGCTTTACAACCGGGTATTTTTGGGATGCCGCAATCTAACCTGTGCGGTCTGATCACCCCTCCCTCTGATGCAGCTCAACCTTCTACTAAATCCACCAGCTATGTTCCTCGCCCCCCCCAGCCACAATGTTCCTCCTCTTCTGTCTGCTTCTCTTAACCCC